AACCAGTTGCCAAGAGGTTAACTTCTTGCGCTGGAATGACGAGAATTTTTTGCCCGAAAATTGCAATATTTCCTCAGTCTTAAATATATTTAAATATAACCCAGGCGAAACAAATAACAAATTTATTACTTCTTAGTGGTTATTTCTATCCAGTGATGTTATATCGTCGAGTTCAAAAAGAAAGCAACGAATTATTGTATATACGATTTGGTCACTCGTTATGGTCCGTGAACCAGTTGCCAAGAGGTTAACTTCTTGCGCTGGAATGACGAGAATTTTTTGTCCCAAAATTGCAGTACTTTCTCAGTTTTAAATATATTTAAATATAACCCAGACAAAACAAATAATAAATTTATTATTTCTCAGTAATTTCTTAGTATCATTGTATACGGTTTGGTCACTCGTTATGGTCCGTGACCAGCGCAGGGGGTTAACTCTTTGAGTTAAAAAATATCCCACCTTTTGCTTAGCTTTTTATGCATGGTTGGATATATTTTAACCCATCTCGAAGAGTTGAAGTTACTCAGTCATGCAGTTCATATTTTAATATTTTTTCCTTTTTTTTTATATTAAATTTTATATATTTTTTTGCATTTTCTTTAAAATCGGGTGCCTCAAAGAGTTAAACCCTCCTCGAGCAGCGAACGATCTCTCTTTCTTCTGTGCAAGACGCTCGCCATAATAAATGCAAACTGGGAACCGATTCCCGCTCGTACTTTCTATTCCACGCCATCCTCTGCTCTACGTCCATGCTTTCAGCTCGCGATTTCCGGCTTTTCGAACTCGATAAAAGAAAATATACAACTCGTAATAAATAAAAGGAAAATCTTTAAGACCTGTTTAAGTTCATCATCGTTGTCAGTTAATCATGATTGTTCAGTTAATTTTGACTAATTGAAGAATCAATTCTATTTTTTTTTTTTTTGTTTTTGTTTTTAACGCGTAAAAAAAATACTAGAGAAATGTAAATACAAAAATGTTTATTTCACGAGATGCATGCATTATATAGTAGCGTTCATTGTATATATATTTTTGACAATTCTTACGTTCGAATTTCAAAACATGAATTTAAATGAATGCGATACGACGTACTCGAGAATTAAAATCGAGAAACATTCACAAATGTTTTCGCTTGATTCGATGATATTCTTAAAGAAATTCTATTCTGCATCCTTTAAAATGCAACGTGCAATTTTTCAGTTGTTTGAGAATTTTCGTCAAGTTAATTCTCTTTTTCTTTTTTAAATATTTTAACGATTAACTACACTCATGTCTTTCAAAAGCTAATTGCGCTTAATACTTTGTTTAAAAGCATGAACACCGGACAACTGATCCTGTGTATATCATTGCCAATGTATCAAGCTAAACGTTTCTTTTACCAATTTCAAACGATCGATACACTTGTACATGATTATTCGTTGACTGAAATATGCAATAAATTAAGAGACAAAACAAAAAAAAAAAAAAAAACGAGCATAGCAGAAACAAGGACGAAGATTAAACCGAAAATTTGAAATGTAACTGCATCCACAAATACCTGGCGCAAAATTCGAAATTCCGAATATATTGTTAACAAAATGATGGCAGATACAAATCTTCAGAATGTGCTGCTTTTACATCAGGTACTTCCTCGCGTATACTATAATTCTTCTTTGCTTTCCAACAACCTAATTCTTTACTTTTCTAAACTCTATAAAACTCTTTTTAATTTCTAATTCTTTACTTTTCCAACAACCTGTTACATGCCGTTTGATTCTATCTGGACAAATAATTTCTCATCGATAAACGTCCGTTTAATTTTAACGTTTTTCTTCCTCCTCGGATTGTTCAATCCTCCTCAATTAATGTTACCGGTTTAATTATTTCGTTAGAGAATTCATGCAAGCATCTCGTTCCATTTTACGAGGGAGGAAGGAAAAAGATAATGAAGTTGGACGAAAGAACGAGAGACGAACGTTCGAATAAGAAAGCAATCGAGATGCGGTGAAAATTTTAAAATTACGACAAGGGGCAAGAGGTAATGCCCGGAATTGTAAATCCGACGAATAACGATGACTCCGAAGATCAAAAACAGCGCGACAGGGAAATACGTTTAAATCGCGGACGATCGAACGCCGGTAGGTACGAGAACATAAAAAGCAAGCAATCGTGGAAAGTAAAACTAGCTAAATATCTGGTCAACGATTTGAAAAATTACGGACCGGGGAATTTAATGCACATAAACGCCATAAGTACTATAACAGGGAAGCCTATTCGTATATGGAGATCGAAATGCTTGCATCAAACGATAAATGATCAAACGAATCGAAATTTAACCGAGAATTTTATCGATATAGAGTATCATGCTCAGTTACCCGATCCTATAGGACACTGGACGTTATTGGACGATAAAGATCCTGTTAATGTTGAATTGGATTTAAACGCATGTCTGTTTTCAGTGATCGCTGCTCAAACTGGGAAGAACACGAACGATCTAAAAACAAATACCATTGACTTTCTAACGAAGAACACGGGACATTTGATTAGCCAAATAAATAAATTTGCCACGAACAACAATGACGGGAGATCACTGATGATAGGCGGTGCTCGATACGTCGGCGCATCGCCAAAGTCAGCCCGTATCATTCTTGACAATTCGCAGAATATTATTTGTCACAAGTGCAAGGATTACGGTCATCCGAGGGGTCACGCGTCCAATATAAATGCTACAGGGCCAACAGATAGCGTTGAAAACTATTCTCTGACAACATTATCAAAGAAATCTGGTTTCTTAAGCAGAACCGATCAAGACAACGTTGCCCATGTTACTTTGACACATGCAGAAGCAAGGCGTGCCATGGACGAATTGAACGATGGCGCGACATCGAAAACGGTAACGTTATCACGCAGAGATTTGCAAAGAAAGCACTTTGTTCTGCCGCAAATGAAAGAATACAAGAATGGTCGCGCAGCCTCTGGAAAATTGGACATTCTTCGTGTTACAATAGTACTGAGGCACCATCAAGGAAAGTTCAGAGATCCGGATGCAGACGTTTTTGTACACACATTTTATCCAAGAAGTAATTGAATCTCTTCTGGCTACTATAAATGACGTAATATATAGAACAAAATTTAGACACGCTCGATAAGTATAATTTCATTACAAATATTTAAGAAAAGAAAAAAAAAAAAAAAAACGTACAAAAGTTACAAATTAATTTATTTCGTGGACACACCACGTCCATACTAATGTTCTCAAACTATTTCTTGCTATTTGAATTTCATCGTCATCTTTTGAACAATCTATTTTAGTTACGTATTCACAACCGAAACGTAGCATGTCATCGCATTCCTCTATATCATCTAATATCTTTTTCGAGAACTCAACAATTTCTAGTATATGTTCTTTGGTGACAATTATTTTCATATGTCTCGAGAGTAGTAATTTTTGCAAAACATTGATATACAATATGAAAATTCCAATTCTGATATCTGTAACCAAACGTGATTTCAAACACAATGCAATGTTTAAAAGCATTAATTTGTAATGGGCGATATCGTCTTTCATATTCAATATAGTATTTAGAAGTTTGTCCATCATTTTTACTACTAATTCCAAATTTTCTATCTCTTCTTTGTGCAAGTTACTTGAAACTTCTAATAACCAGGGCAATATTCCATAGCACTCTATAAAAAGTATAGAGGCTTTCCTAATATTTAACGCGACATCAACGACTTCCAAAATAAGTTTCTGGAATAAAAATACATTAAATCGATTTAAAATAGGAAACTATCGCCTCAAGCGTTAAGTCTTAAGTTTTCCTAAGTCTCACCTTCGTACTTGAATCTGAAAGACTAGAAATATAAAAATCAAAAAGCATTTTAAACAAAACACATTTGAGAGCTACGTCCAACTCAGCCTCTGATTTCATACTATCGCGAATATTTTCTAAAATCCAACATCTGTGTATTTTATGCTCCACATCAGAACTATGTAAAAGTTGCAACAATTCGGGTATCGTGTTTATATCTAATGCTGGTTTAGCTACCAGAAATATCTGTAAAACCGAATAAAGAGGATGCAATGGTTGCGTGGTAATCAAAGACGTCCTTGCCAAGAACGTAGAAACTAAACAATTTATACGTGTATTATCAAGTTCTGATTGTTGCGATATAATACCGTAACGCAATGCATCTATCAATCGCATCCATAATAGTCTCGTTTTAGAACTGTGAACAAAAAAATGTAAATACGTACTATGCCATCAGATACAACATTATAACATATATAAATAACTTTCTATAAAATACCTAGAAGCTTCCAAGTGAGTATAATATCTTGCAATAATCGTATAAGCTATCATTCGAACATTAGAATGCTTGCTGCTACATGCAGCAAATGTCAATGCTAGTGCACCACTTTGAGCAACTTTATAACACGGTACAACATTATTTTCCGATAATAAAAAATATAACAACGGTAAATAAAATGCTGGGTCGTATACATCATTCGCTCTATATAATTCAGTGTCCTGTGAAATAAAAAATGACTCAAATATGTTATATAAATTTTTTAATATTTTTAGCGTTTAAAAGCCACCTTCAAATCTCTATCCACAGGATATTCCTTTATAGTATTGTTTACCATGTCTTCTTCAAACAAATTTAAAACTTGCATAACAGACGGTTGCCTCCATAAACTCATATGTATTTCACTTTTCACGCTGTAATACGTTGTGGCCATATTTCCCCAGACATATGGCTGATATTTGCAAACATTGATTTTATTACTTTCGTAGTACTGCAAAATCTGAAATACGTATACATTATATGTATATATTTTTCAAAAATACGGTATAAATTTTTTTCACATTTGTTTCATTCATTCTTACAAATAAAATAAATTGATCAGCTTCGCTCAAAGTAGCATTATACGCAGCTAAATAAACAGGTACATGTGCCAATGACATGATTTCTTTATTTTTTTGTACGAGAATCCATAACAATTCTATTAAATCCCCTAAAAAATAAAATAATTAAACGCATTACATACATCAATCGATGTAACGCGTTACCGTTGTTACACAAATACATACTTTTAGTACTCGACGATTCCAACATAACATTAATAAATTCGGAATGAGAAGTTGCCATCTCAAACAAAGTTTTGACATGTTCATTGTCACTGTTATTTCTATATGCAATATCGCATAAAATGCTTAAAGTTTTTATTATTGGTACTATCCTTTCCTTATCTTTTTTCGATCCTTTGAGCCCAAATTTTAAACAAAATCGTGTAAATTGCAACCACGAACGATCGGTGCTTAATGCTTCAAATTCAAAAATGTTTCTTTTCTCTCTTAAACGTTTAACAGCATCGTTTAATACCTCACAGAGGATACAAAGTTTTTGAACATTCTTAGACTCCTCTTTCAAAGTCACAGTAATTATACGAAGAAAAATTTGTATTAAATTCATGATAAGTTTTTCGCTCTCCGTTTCTAAGCCGACAGCAGATTTGTCGTACATACTTTGAAGAATTTTTACGTAGTATATAGATACTGAATCCAATTTATCACCAGTTTGTAAAATCATATTACAAATATCATTGCACATCTTAGGCTTGAATGTAGTTTTAATTAAATAACAAATTGCAATATCATTTCTTTCTATCCAAGATTTTGCATTTTTAGGATCACACAAATACGATACAATTTCAACTTTGTAATGTTTTTTCAAACTTCGTAAGAAATCTTGATTCCATTTAAAATTTAAATTACTCGCAACTATCGGTAACACGATGTTACCTTTTTCCATATTTTTCGAATTTTTTATATATTCTATAAAAATAGGTATAAACTTTACATTTCTCCTAATTAGAAATGAAATTAAATTTACAGTTGCGTCCGTAATTTTCGTTGATAACAATGATGAGAAAATATCTGCAATTATATAAATTGTACGAACATAATAATATCGTGATATCAAATATATAATAATAATATAAAATAATAACGCAACAACGTAAAACTTTATGAAAATAACTTACCTGCATCGATACCACCAATATTGAATGAAAAATTTGAAAGATACTTGCACAAAGCTGTTTCCCATATTTCAAAATTGGCAATTAAATTCAATTTTAAAAAAAGTAAACGCGAACACAAATTTCTAACAAATTCCGCGTCCAACTCGAGAAATACATTTCGCTCAGATTTCATTTCATTGGCATTAATGATTTCTAAAAGTTTAGGAACTGTACGTCCATATATCGATAAACATTTTTTATCGCTCGAGATAAACGCAACATCCTCCAATTTTACTATTTTCTTCAATAAATGTACAATATCTTTCGACGTTGGCCGTAACACCTCCAACAAGGTAACAATCGTATCGAAACTATTTATTTTTCCATCTTTTTGTCTTTTGTCTATCATTTTACACAGTTCTGCGAGTAACTTATTTTTGAAATGAACAAATAGATTTCCAGTATTATATCTTTTATGCAAATCAATCAATACGCTACAAATATCAGTAACTATAAGAGTAATCATACTTCTTACAATTTTTTTTCTTTGATAAACTGGAGAAAAATAATATAAAATAGTAGGATGAGTAAAAATCGATTTTGCACATTCTTCCAAAAGAGCAAAGCTGTTTAAACTACCCTTTGCAATGTGCAATAATAATGTTAAAAAATATTTATAATTATCAAATTGTATCTTTGTCAAAACACTTTTTTTAGCGTGTTGCACTAAATAGAATATAGTCATTTTAAACAAATATATAATTTCATAGCTCGATAAGGAATGACGAATCGTTATAGTCTCCTTATTATACTGAAAAGTAACTATATCGTTACCGTCAAATATTTGATCCACGCGCAATTTGACATCATTCAAAAGCGCCGAATTTAATTTACATACCAAAGTCATCGAAGGAACTATGTTTTCGATACAAACAGATCGATCGTCCTCCAACCAACTTGATAAATATTCTTTTACCGGTGATTTTGGTATATCTTTAGTCAACTGTATCAAACATCGAGGCATTACTTGACAATGCAACGTGTGTATCAAAACGTAAGACAAATAAGACAATATCGAAGGATGTGAATCTTCCTTCATTTCGCGTAACATGCAACATAAAAGAGGCGATATCGATGTGAAACGTTGCATGGGCAAAATATTATTTTTCAAATTTTTGCAAACAGCAGGCTTTTCTGCAAGCTCTATAAAATACAAAAAGGATAATTTCTCACAACATGATCAATCATATTTAAAAATAAAATCAATCATAACAATAAAAGAACTTACCATTAAATATGTCCTGCAATTTGCCAACACGAACCACTTCTTCATTAATAACTTTTTCAGCTCTAATTATTTCATTCGCATATTTTTCGATGTCTTTAGCAGTTTTCTTCACGGTACAAATAAACCATCTTCTCAATTTCTTTCTATCGTCTAAACTTGTGAAACCGTTAATCCAAATATCTAAATGGTCGCTACAGCCTTCAAACATTCCAGTGGCATTTAACAAAACTCTGATTGTCCCTTTTACGCATAACGTAGTTGAAGATGTTTCTTCGTTCAAAGCAGATATTAAAAATGACAATACGTCGTTAAATATTTTCTAAAAAGAAATGGTTATTTATAAATTCAAAGAAAGTATAACAAATATAAAAAAAAGACATTTGCAACTCGCACAAATTATATCTTACCTACCTTATGCGGTAAAAATTTACAAGGTTCCAATATAACTAAAAATTGAATAGCTTTTGCTTTTACGGCATTAAATTCATCAACGCTGATATCTCCTTCCAATTTATTCAATGTATTTAAAAATGTATCAGATGGTATATCGGTCGATGTATCTAATAATTTTGGACATATTTCGTTGTACATGTGCAATAAATTTAAAATAACCGTCAAGTATTCATACTTTTTCGGTTCTAAAATATACTCCATATCATTATCGTTGTCTTCAACCGGACTTGTCTGTGGATCGAAAGCATCGCTCCATATATTCAAGACCGTATTTACATTGGGTACATTCTGAAAAAGATATCAATTCGATACGATAAAATTATTACAATTTACATTTTATAATTTTCGATTTTTTAATTTACGTTCCTTTGAAAATGTACGTGTATTCACCTTCATCGTGTATTCCATCACACAATTCTTAAAAGTGCAGAAATCAGTATCTTCCTCGTAAACTGTTTTTAACATTGACAAATACTTTTGCAGCTGACGAAGCATGCACGTAAGCGTAAGTATTGCTTCATGCTGTATTATTACATTAGAACAAGACAAAGATGGTATAATTGCTTGCTCCAAAATTATCTCTGGCAAAGTTATAGATAATACTGCATTTGCTAATTGCGATACGTTTAATTCCAACGAACACGTCTTCATACAAGTATCTACATCCGTTGCTTGTACTATCTGCGATAAAATTGATTAACACGAACATTTAAAAATGCATTACGAAGAAATAAACTATTTACCTGTTTTACAAATTTCATCGCTTCGATCCATTTCGATGAAACCCTAGGTTCGACGTACGGTTCCAAACGAATAAATTGTGCTTTGATCAAATCAGGACACGCTGTCATTATTTTAATTACCAAATTTAACGGTTTTTCATGTTCCCAAGGTCTGTCCATAGTTTGAAGTATCGTATCTATCACGTGATTACGTTTTATACGCGAAGTACCAAGCATATGATCTTGAAAAACAATACCATATCGACGCGATGTTAACAATAAAATTAAAACATCATGTACAACTTCAACAACTATCTAAATTAAAATTTTTACAATCATTATGCGTACGTATAATTTATAACTGAAGTTTGTCATCGATATAAAATACCTGTTTCTCTTCAACATTTTGCGAGTCTGAAGTAAAACTCCGACTTTTGAGTTTTGGACAGTTACTTGGACCTTTCCAATCGTAGAGATTCACAATATTTTGAACAACTGATATTGGAAATAGTTGTAACTTGATAGTTTTACTGATATTCGGATTTCGAAGAATATGAATTTTAAAAGTAGTTAAAACTAACACAACGATATCTTTAGAATCATATATCAAATCAGGAAATATACTATAAAACAAATCACGTTTATCTAAAAAAGTTCTGATAATTGGCGTAGTTCCATCTATCAAGAAAGCCAGGATAAAATGAATGAAACAATTCCTTGTATCTCGGTCATCCGTAGGTTTTGTACGTTGCACAAGAGATCTAACAACTTCCATTGGCAAAGACAAATGAGCGAGTATCTCGCGTGGAAGATTTCCACCAAACGAAACTATCGCAGCGAGTAGTTGCAAGACTACTTTTTGTTGTTTCGCGTTACTTCGTGCAGACAACATCGAATGAATCATTGATAAATGCGAATTGATCAAACGACGACACGCTGCTTCTGCGCTGGATCGATACCGCGGATACTGCGATAATATTCTAAATACAAAAGAAATTAACCGTTCAATTGAAAAAATATTGCTCGACAAACACATTCGAAGCTACAATTGTACAATACTTACTTTATCAATAATATTTTTAACGCAGAAAATACAGTAACAGCATCGCGAATTCCTTTTTTTTCCGCAGTTAAAAATTTCATTACTTCCAAAATATTACCACCCGCATCTAGGTATTCCGCTGCAAAATCTCTTTTCTCGTTTTCATTGCAGATTTTTACAAATTTTTTTAACATATCCGAGCCATTTACAGAATCGAAGCTTTCTTTAAAAATTCTTCCATCCAAATATTCTATCCGTTTGTTCGTATCTATTTCATCTTCCTTCTTCTTTTCATCTTTGTCGTTGGTTTCTACATTCGTAAGGATAAACGTGTACGTGTAATCATACATAACATGAAAAATATATATAACAACCTCGAACATTCGGTTTGCGTATTACCTCGAGAATCTTGAAGCGTTTTCTCTTCACGTTCCTTCGTAGTTCTTGCATATTCTTCATCGGTTGTATCATTTACAAGTGAATTTATATTTTCTTTTTTTTGTTTTTTACGCAGTTTAGCACCGTCAGCAGCTTCCAAACTCAGCTTTCTTTTGAGCATATTTGCATCATCGATATTATCACTAACACGTTCAAAATCTATCAAGCAATTGTTCTCTGGAATTAATAACTTCTTCGAATTGAGAACGATATTTAGCAGATAAAAATTGCAATGTTACAAAAACAAACGTAAATACAACTCGAACACGTGGAAATATTACCTTACGACGTAAAACATTAGAAAATAACATTCTTTACCTTTTTCCTTCTTTCTTTCCTCGATATCACTTCTGTATGATCTTTCACTTTGCAAATTGGTATTCATTACGTTTGTCATCTTGTATAATTTTATATATCATTTCAACAAAACAAATTAAACGTATACATACGTGTCATTCCGCATTTTAATCTTTAAAAATCATATTTTTCACATTCATCGCAGCAAACAATTCTCTTTTGCCAGATAACCTACACCAGAAAAATCAACCACGTGCGTCTGTTTGCGTCGTAGGTACGACGGTCGGTAAACTAGCGATTCGCCGTACCACGAGAGGGAGTATGCGATTCGTCGTTGTTAATATTTTTATTCCACAACAATCGTTCGATACCGTTACAGTTCAACGATAAAATCGAGACACTTTTACTCTGGGACGTGCGACGCGATGTTCGACGTTGCGTCTGTTCTCTTCTCGCGTTCTTTGTCTCTATATTCTTATATTCTTCCTCCGTTGGTA